TAATGTTTGAAACTTTTATGCTATTTCGAAATTTTGAAAAAATGTTACAGACCAGAAAATTCGAAAAATCAAAAGTTTTTGAATTGTGGAAGTTTCTTAAACTCAATGTAATTATGTGCAAAAATGTTCTTTCATTTTTGAAATGGGGTCAAAGTTTATCACTTTGAAAAACCCTGATTTGGCTTAAATATATTCACAAATTCTGCCACAACCGAAAACACGAACATTCATGAATGTTGTCCTGCAGGAAAACGTAAATTATGGTTCGGGTAATTTTGGTGTGTGAGCAATTTAAAATTACAATTTAATTGTCACTATTTTCCCGTGGATCTGGGAAAATAGTGTGCTCTAAATAGGTAAAATATTACTTCGTTCCAAGATACTATTAGTATTCTGGAGCGAAAACGATTACGTAATATCGAATATATTGAACATGAAGGGCCCGGCACTGAAGCTCATACCAGGCCTGAAAATTTCACGGTACGGCTCTGTCGAGGTTATCTGTCCCACTGTCACTTTGATATCGATACGATCATGATAAGAGACCACGCGGGAGTTGTGGTATCGTATTTAATGTGGCAGAATGACGATAATAATGCCCACGTACGGAGCAGAAAATACGGCGCGATGCCCAGGCCACGTAGGGAATCACGTCTGTCGTTGTGGAGAAAGTAGGTTGGACGACGCGGGAGAAAGTTTAGTGAACGCAGAGACATTATTGTGTCGGAGGAGGACTGATTTCGAGGACCTACATACACTTCTGTGTGAACTTATATGGGATACTTGATTCCGAAGAAAGTTCCAGGCACACGAAATGGCTCCGCGTTGCACCTGTGTCCAGATCGTGTGCAAACTTTTCATCCTCCTGGCTGGAGGCGATTATTGCAAACTTGGTTCCCCACATTTGCCACGTTTTCGCAGTTTACGAAATTTGGAAAGATTTGTGTTGTGAAAGTATTGGTTTGGACGGAACTGCTATCTACTTACTTAAATGTATGTCACTAGATTCGACCATGTATGTATGCATGATGATAATATTTAATGTGCAAATTATTTATATCTTGTATGCAACAGCTGTAAATATGTTTAAACTTTCTCTATTTGTACATGGAAACTAATATAATTTTATGTACGAATTTTTGATAGAGCGCTTTTATCAAGCTAAAATAAAATTGGGGGACGTTACTGAATTTGTAGTGCACTCAAATTGTTGTCTTTAGGGAACGTCCATATATTACGTCATCATTTTAGTGGGTGGGTGGTTTTGGTCTTCCTATCTTTCCCATGTTAAAATTCCCTATCCCTTAATGTTTACGTTGGGTGGGTGGGTGATAAAATCGAGAATTTTTGATGACGTAATATATGGATAAGCCCTTATAAAGTCGTTGAAAGAAAAAAGATCCAAAAGTTGGCCGAAATGATGTTCTTCTCAGTCAGGGAAAGCCATTTAAGAATAAAGTGGACCATGACATCGCAAGATCGGAGAAAGTTGGTTTTTGTAGATTGTAGTGTAAGATGGCATGATGCAATTGTGAGCCTGAAGGAGTTTTGTAGATCTTACGCAAAAATAGCAAGACAATCTTTTTTGCAAAATTGAAAAGCTAAACCCTACCCCAAAATGTGGGACAGGAGACATTTTTTTCAAATGATGGCTGAACTTTCACTTTAACTTGTACTGTTGTTCTTTTTATCTGATGAGGATGAATTGCATGGTCAGTTGCACAACAGTTTCGCGGTCCACGTACCAGAACACGACGACCACCCAATCTCTTGTGATACCAATTACAGATACATATATCGTAAAAAAAGTGAAATGGACGTGTTCTCTTTTGATCTTGGAGAGATCAGATGTGATCAATTTAATCATCCCACTCGGTTTGTAGTTGATTTGGATGTCGAACTAGTGAATGGAGATCAAATTTCGATTGACTTTTTGGAATGAAATTCTAGCTGAATTGGTCAATAGTGAAGATGGAGAAAGTCTATTGTCCCACGCAATTCAATTAAATATATATGTAGGTTATGCTTACATAATAAATACGCAAGAATTTATGCAATGTTCCCTTTTAATTAAGTAAATAAATTCCGCGGATGCATATGTACTTACGCCCACACTCGTAATTTGAAGGAGATTATCTATAGGGACATTTTTAGTGTTAGATTTTCTGTCAGTTTGCATTCCGACAAAAACCTTTGCAATCAACGTTTGATGCACATTGAGATTCCTGACTTATTTACTTTATCTCGTTAACAAAGGAAATCAAGTAACAAATTCTAAACTTTTGATTGCAGATATGTACTTGCATGAATGCTAGTACGGTATTCATTATTCCTCAGTATCCTTAGTATTCTTCGGATCGTAAAATAAGTTGCGACGAGTACGAGATTTTGTAAGCGTCGTAAGATTTTGTAGTCAAAAATTGCGGTACTACATGCATACTCCTGATTTTTTCCCAATTTTACTCCATATACATACAACCCATTTTTATCTTCGAATTTATCTTCGTAACTATTTTACGATACTAAGGATAAAACGACAACATTGTGAATACCCTCAATATTTATTTACATCAAAATGTGACAAATTGTAAGTTGAAAAAATATGCCATGTTTGAAACATTATACTTTTGTAGCTAAAAGGAACATGAATCACAAAATATTTCCTACTATAAATTTCAGCATTTCATAATTTTTTCATCCAAATACTCGGAACACGTTTGCCCTTCAAAAGTTTCACATTTGCCAAGTTGTAATATTCACTTTCTTTAGATTCATTCGTGTTGCATAACTTGGACCACTTTTAGTTGTCCAATCCGCAGTCCAGAAGTAATTTAAACAAAAACCTGCGGTCATGTCAACGAGACCAACTTTTCTCAAGAGTGCATCTCGGACGACGCTAAAGTACGTGCTTCTTACGTAACTATGAAGAAACTAACTTTAAAAATAATGACTTTTCCATTATAGACTCAACTTTTTCTTCAGACCGCGAGAAACTGGTGACAGACGAGTAAGTAGTTTGCAATGCACTTTACGAAGAAATCAAAAAAATTGTGTAACTTGGACGTAATCAAACTTGCGCCAAACTTCACAAAAAATTATAGATTGGACTTTCCCCAAGTCAAAATTCATTACAATATTTCAACGCTAGTTTGACATGCGTTTTTGCATCTCATGAACTCGGAATTTGCATTTTATTAGAGGCCAAAATTTTGCAAAGTCGCATACTTATTATACATTTGGAAACTTAGGAGAAAGCCAAAGTTATTGGAAAATGTTACTCATTTTGCATTGAAATGAACTTCGGAACGATGTATGCAAATATGCCTTTTGAAAATTTCCTGTCAAGATTTAGCATGAATACGTATTTCACACTTGAATATACTATGGAGAAAGTCGCCATTGAATGAGACCAACTTCCGATCCAATTAAGTGGCCCCGTCCTCCGGAAATCCATCTCCTGCCTCACTTTCCATGCCCCACTCAACAGATAAGTGGTGGGCAGAACTCTAGTTGTGAAAATAGTTTCACGAATTTCATTACTTTCTCGTCCTGTTAGACTCTGAGGAACAATGTTCAGTTATTCGATTAAGTCCACGAAACTCGGAGTTTAGTTAAATAAAATTAAACCGGCTGTAAAATCCATGTATATTATTTCGGGAAAATTTAATTGCGTAGTTGGATATGCATGATCGAAATAAATATTTAAATAATATTAGACGGGTAGTTTTATAAGATCCAAAACGTGTGCGTGGGTTACAACATTCCATAAATAAATGAGTATTGTTATGGCATTAATAAAATTAAGTACAACTTAATTATTTGCCTTGAAGTATTAGACAGGCAATTCTATGCAACGAACTTCCAATAATTTGGCAAATTAATGGAATTATTCAATTATTAGAGGAAAATTTAATTGAAAGATTTCAGCAAAACTTGTAGGCTTCAGGAAATCACAAATTTTATAAGAATTTTAAACAAACTGAATCCCAAACAAAAATCATTTCGGAAACCCAAGAAACAGGAACTACTTATCTTTTGAAAAAAATTTTTCCTTGCAGTTTTACGATTCTTCTTTCGGACACAGTACATACATATTTCTGCAAAAGTTGTAAATACATATATTTTACGCACCCAGGCTGTAAATCCACTTTCTCCAGTTACACGTTTTACTCTCCAGCAGCAACAACTTTACGACTTTGTGCACATCAAAGGAAGTAAAAATTTATCGATTTCCTTAAGCAACACGATAGCTCGAAAGGGTTGTGTCTGTGGTGTTGTCGGTGTGGGTGGTTGGCGTGAAGGAATATAAATGACATCACGTCATCTCCTCTTCCATGTCCTATTCTCCAGAGACGAGTCGTCGTCCCATCACTTATTCATTCCGTGTAAATAGTTTACTTCCTTCTTTAACTAGTAGATAAAATATGAATGCACTTGACTGGACTGCTTTTTATGAAGTTAAGGATAAGACGGATTTGCTTTTTTTTAAGAATCAATTTCTACATGAGGAAAAGGTAAATATGTAATTTTAGTAGGGAGGAAAGTGATATGATTGATGAACTTGTAGCCGTTGACTAGATTTATTACCTGTCAATCAGTTTGACATTTATGTATTGAGAGATGATCTTGTATGCATTTAAACAAATTATCGGGATTAAGGTTAAAACTTTGGGAAATATATGTAAAAAGGCTTGCATAGTTAAGACAATATATTTTATTGATGAAGACTTAGGTAAATTTAACCCTGTAATTTTTGTGAAATGTTTTACAAAATTCTGCAAAATACGAGGTAGCCTAACAGAACTAAAATCCAAAAGTCTTGTTAAATTATTTATTTAGTTTATTTCTCAAATTTTGTCTACAGAATGCCCAATTTTGAACCGTGTATCTAGATATGAAAAATTATGCAAGTTTGTGTCATGTTTTTTACCAATTTTTACAAAAATGCAACTGTGAACATTTTATTATTGACGAGGACAAAAATGAAACGAAATTATGTATTAAACACTGAATTTGCAATAGATAAATGCTAAATATTTATTCATTTATTTTATATTATTCCTCTGTATAAAGTTTCAAAGTATTTTAATATATTATTATTAATATGTTATGAAGAATTTAATAAATCTGTATTTTAATCGTATTTTTAGTAGATATTATTAAAAGAGGAGGTTTAAATGTTGCTATTAGTTCCCATTAAAGCGCGATCACCGATCATGAGTAGAATCTTGTCCTCGAGAAGCTTAACCCTGTCGCGATATTTGATCTTGGTGTCCTCCAACGTCTTGATGAGAGTAGAATTGGAGTCGTGGAGGAGGGAATAGTTGTCTAACTGGGAGGGGCTCGTGGGCGTGGTCACCATTTTCTTGACAGCCTGGTTGTTATTGTTCTCTTCGGCTGGGAGGAATAAAAAGAATGCGTGATTAGTGGGATTTCTCGGGTTTGTCGCAGATTCTTTTGGAGTTTCGTCGTTTACCGGATGATATAAAATTTAGTGGGTGTCAGTTTCATAAATTAAAGTTAGGGGAAATTTGTGGGTTTTGTTCAGAAACAAGTTGCTATGACGACCCACAACTTTACGAAATTTGCGAAAGCGTGACGTTAATGGTTTTCTGTACGAGTTTATGCAATTTACGACAGTTACGAACCACAAGATTTTCAAAAGTAATAGACAAGATTGTATTGTGCAAATTATAAAATCATTTGGAATCGAGAATGCAATGAAAATGCAATGAAATCAAGAATTGGCCGAAATATTGGTCATCTTTTAAAATTTTTTTTACGGAAGATAATAATTACACAAATAGGAAATAAATTTCTATAATAACTTACCTTCATTTAAACCTGAAGGAGTCCCACCCCCACTGCTCCCAGCGGAACCGCCCCCTAATAAAAATCCTGCCAAAAAGTCCCTCTCTCTCTCAGCGCAGACCAATCTCATCTTCAAATCTGCCCTCTCCTCACGACAACTTAGCAGCTCCTGCAATTAATAATTTGTCAAAGTCTGCAAAGACTGATGATTTACTGTTAAGGGTACATAATTATTCATGGAAATCAAGGAGGAAATTCTCTCGTATGTTTGCAACGCAGTAAAATCCGTAAAGTTTAAAAGTTTTACTAAAGAAAAATCTGATCATGAATCTATTGCAAATTTAGTCATCTTCAGATCGAGGGTTTTGCCTTAAATGTTTTGCAAAATTTGGCAAATTATTTTGCAAAATTTTGCCCACAGTTTATTGCGTTACAAACTTCCGAGCAAATTAAGCCACTGCATACGTATATATAATCAGACAATGCTTAAGTGGTCACATGTATGTTCAACACTCGACTCGACCACTTTTTGAAATAATAAACCAGCGCCAAAATACGACTTTCTCAATTAAATTTTAATTTACCTGCATTAAAACTGCCGTCTCCAAATCCATCCTATTGTGATTCGAGGGTCTTCCCGAGGAGGACGATCTGCGTTGAAGTTGCTTGATGTCATACGGCGTCAAGAGTTCCGGATTGGCATTCATGTTGAAGTCGTACTCCGGGATGGTCGAGGTCAACTGGGCGCGGGAAGTTTTAAGTGAGATGATCATAGATCGGATGTGATGTTCCAGAGTGCGGGGGCTGAAATAAAGGAAAATTATCAGAAAATTTACATATGTACTTTGTTATAACATGCAAATCAGGGTGGCTCTGTAAATACTACATGGTTCATCAAGGGTTCGAATTTCCATGTGATAACAACCAAACTTTCACCACCAAAATACTGACAAGTGTGTGACACGTCCTTAATAACTTTGGAAACAAGTTTCCCCAGAGAATTTGAACCGGGGAAAGTTAGTGGTTTGGTTTGGTTTGGTGGGTATATAGTGAAGTTTGCGGATTTTGGGATATTTATTGTTCTAGTTTATGTACAATGTACTCGCTATGTGTCGGTTTTGTGTGGGAAGAAAATTTGAGTAGGAAATCCATATTTGTTTTGAGTCGAGATCGGTTCAGATTTCATAGAGTGCAGACAATGGGGTTCTTCCTATTGTCGTCTATCATTATTATTTGCTGTCAGTGTGTAAGTAATGACGGGATGGTGAATATTTCTCAATATTCGGGGGCAATGTGACTTACTTTTCATAGATAGATACACTGTTAGAAATCTGGTATACATACGTAGTCAGGCGGGTATTATGTAATTTCTCACTATTAAAGTTGCTACCGCTTGGTAGTAAAATTATATCGATTCGTAAAAAATTGCCACAGATATGATAAAACTTTAATACTGAGCTGTTACTACATGGTATTACTGGTCAATACCACTTTGGTAGACTCATACATGAATACCGCTTGGTATTATTTTAATCCTGGGTTTCTAAGAGTGTAGATGTACTCCTACATACATTATGCAAATACGGTAAGTTTGGTACACACTTAGGACAGAGTTTTATTTCCCTACGTACCCGTTGACCTATATTAAAAATGCAGGTTTTGTAGTCCACTGCCCATGCATGACGTCAAGCCACTATTGAGCCACATAATCCTAACTTCAAGTTCAACCCCCACATTCAAGCAGCTCAATCCTTCAAGATCTATGATCCCATCTAAATGCAGATATATACAGGTTTTGGAACCATAAATAAATGCATGAGCAAATAAATGCATCCATAATATCTCATCCTTCGCAAAAAAATTCATAAAAACGGTTCGGTGTCAATACAATTTCTTAAAAAAAGCATAACGTTGATATGAAATAATCTATGTAGTTTGCGATTTTTTAGACAGACAGCCAAGAGTTAGCAGTGATGCAGGCAGTGTTTCGTTTCTTGCGGGTATGTTATTACATTTTTTATTTTGCGAAACAGAAAACGCAAGAAATGCAAGGTGCAAAAAACTGCAAGTGCAAAAAATATGCGCCATATAGCCACGCGTCCTATGAAAAATACATATCGGCAGCATGTAGTTTCTTGCACCTTGCATTCCCTGCAGGTCGAAATATCTAGCTACAAAAAACCACCTTCTTACGAGTATTTCTTATAAGTGGATACTTGCACCCTTAACACTGGATCAACTCGATGCAGATTGCAATTGATGTCCAGCTAGATTGCATACCTCCAAAAAGTGTCCTTTTATGCCCCGTCGTCACCATTATTTCTTTCCGAAGAAGAATTGTAACGACCCTGCCTGCACTGACCACCACTTGGACCCATGATTTACGACATTTTTACTACGCACTTAAAACTATGCGGTTTCGTTTCGTCTCGTCCACAAGCCCTACTCTTTTACGTGGATACATAAATTTGCATTTTTTATCCCCTCCACATTCTGCAGTGTATCAGCCATTAACGATGCATGCCATGAATCTGCAGAATTTGCACATTCCACTCAAAACTTATTCATCCATGGTCAACAAAAAGATTTCGTGTCACACATAACAATCGGCCAACTTTATTATACAGTCGCCTGCCTGCCTGCCCTGCATTCATCTCGCCGCGAGGAATGCAGTGCTGGCACTATCTCCTCCGCTTTCACTGAAAAGAACAACACGCCACTTTCTCCGCATTACATACGCTTTGTGAAAGGCATGGGAAATAATCATGCTAATAATAATATGCCAACCATGCATGCATTACTGGCTAAACATAGTTTCCCACTTTAAATTTTGGGTCAAATCTTGGAGGACGCACGCTAAGAAATTTGGGAAAGGATGTTACCATGCGGGGACCATTTGTGACTTTGGCAGGTTATCTGATCGCGGTAATAAAAAGAAAGTATCGCGGGAGCCATTGTTTTCAAAATGGCTGTAAACGAGCGGTTATAATAGAACGCACGAGAAAGTCTTATCATTTACGTACTTTCTTATCCGCTCATTTGCCAAATACTTAACTTGCGAAATAACTTTGTGATATTAAAATATCCCATATAACCATATCCCATATATCCCATATCCTATATATATCCCAATATATAAAATATGATATTAAATATTAAATGTGTTTTGTAAATTTTCAACATATAATCATAAGGTTTCGAAGGAATATTTTTTTCGAAATCTTGCAAATTTCGCAAAACTTTGAAAAATATGTTGATACCTATGCTCAACTTGCCAAAGTCTTATCATTTACTTTCTTATCAACTCGTTTTGAAAACAATTTGCGAAATCATCCTGCGAAATTAAAACATCCTAATTTTCTAGATAAATTTTCTTACAGAATCCTACAGCTTTCAAGCAATTTTTTTGCGAAATATCACAAATCTCGGATTTGCAGGATAAGTTAATACCAAATTTGCAAACCTAAACAAAGGTTGTCGTTAGTGTGCCCTTTATCTTTTTAGTGAACACCACCCTGAATAGTATTCAGTGAATCCATGTATACATTATGTTAGCCTTTGAAGTGGCGGGACCAACAAAAAAGGGAAAGTCAAGGAGACAATTGGCGCAATTTAGGAGAGACAAGAGAGCAAAAGAAAGTACTTTAACGAGTTCCAGGCGCACATTTATTTTGGAAAGTGTGGCGTCATCACGACCTCGCTCCGCTCAATAAAATGAGACAATCAACTTGAAAAACAAGTTGGTTAGATGGGTCGTCGTACTGGTGCTTTGAGGTTGGCAGGATTTTACCCTGGTCACCAATTCAAATAATATGGGTCGGCATGATAAAAATAAAAAAGTTTAGGTATTAAGACCCACATTAAACGTAAGACGACGCGATTTTAAGAGAAGCAAGAGACAAGGTACAAATAAAGGAAAAAGCGGGTTCCACTAATTTAAAAATATCCCGGAAATTCGGGAATTTTGAAATTCTACTTCATCCCAAACCTAGCCAACTTCATCGTCAACTTTCTCTTTTATTCTGGATTTTAAGAGAAACAATAGACATGGTATAAATAAAGAAGAAGCGGACTGCGCTAATTTAAAGATATTCGGAAAATGCGGGAATTTTGAAGTTCTACAAACCACTTCATCGTCAACTTTCTCTTTTATTCTTCATTCCATGCCACGACCCAAACTTGGAGATGCAGTTGTTCCAATACTGCCCGCTTTTGAACCAAATACGGAATAACTTATTTCTCAAGTGTTGCGTAGTTCGGTTCGTCTTGACAGAACTCATCCAGAACAAATTGCCCCAGTTTTTCTTTCTTTGAGAAGAGAAAGTTCTTGGAGAAAGTCAATGGGCACAGTTTTCCTTGACTGCTGGCAATAACAACACCGCCAGTAAGAATAGAATGCATACATATTCCGCGTCACGACGGTACCTAACTACAAGTCAAAGAACGACTTTCTCCCCTAGAAAAAAGACCCATCGTAAACAGAACCACTTTTCTTTTCTCTCTTCCAATAAAGCAGTTTGGTTGGGAAGAATGGGACACGATACAATCGGCAGGGACGATCACAGCGACGAGATAAAACCTTGTCTTTGATTATTTGCATGTTGGAATTGTCAGTCGTAATCATTACAACGGGCAAGGGGGCGATAAGATAATTTTGCTCAATAACAATACTCATTTCGATACATGAATAAAGAAAGGGGCTGAATTGATATGGGGTTTGTAATCGAAGTTTGCTCGTTGTTCGTGTTTGAATGGGTTAATTTGAATTGGGCGGCTTTGTTTTAGTTTTAGAAAACGAGGTAGGCATTAAAGTGAAAGTAATTTTGGAAGAAAATTCGATACCATGTGTTACTTTTCGTTTTTTGGAAAGTGTAACTTTTGAGTTGGGAATAATGAAATTTGGACCGCAAATATAAATTATGGAATTTTTTACATAATTTTTGTCCCAGTTTTTTAAAACATATTTGCATCTAAATTATTTCAAATTTACATACTTCAAACAATTGAAAAGTTCTCACCCAACTTTCGGCTTCTCCACGTGGTCCCATCCCAACACACGGTACGCCGCACCCACTGCCGTGCCCATGTTAAATTCCGCCCTTTTTAGCAAGGATTCGGCATCCGCCTCATAATTATTTTCCTTCTCATCACAGTTCTTCTTTCCAATCCCGGCAGCCTTGACGTTGGCCAAAAGCAATCCCAACTCTGATTCCAGCAAGGCGACGAGTATGTCGTACAATTCGATGGTGGAGTCCCTACGGAGAAAGTTACGATTTCATTTCCGTTCAATATTTACATGTGTCAAGATATTTCTTGGAATTTACCCCCTTTCAGCGACCACTTTCCATCCCATGCCCCAACTTTCGACACGACCTACGACAGTGACCAGATTTTCGTTGACGTTTTTCGCCTGGAAATCAAAAAGGAATAAATTTAATTTCAATTTTTAGATTTGACTTGAGTAGTTTTTAGTGATTCAGTGCACTCTGAGAAAAATTGTCTTAAATCACTATTGACCGGAGTTTATGACTCTACAGGCACGGTAATAACGGGCATGTAATGTTACGGTAATGAAAAATTTACAGCTAATAAACAAACTACTACCAATCCGGCAAGAAATTACTCTGAAATCAATACCAGTCCGGACTACATATGTTACTCTACCAGGTCTTTAATAAGTAGTGTCTCATTTAACCCCGCGATAATCTAGTTTCTCAAGTTTTGGACGTGCGAATCTAAGGAATTTGCAAAACTGGAGCCAGAATATTTCATGAAGTAAAATTACACAAATGTTAAAAACCATTTCAGCCTACATTCATGACATTGACATTGACACTAAATTATCAATTCATTAATTTCTTTCCTCACTCACCTCGCCCAATCTCCCCAAGAGAAAGTCCACCTCATTCTGCAACTTGTCCACTTTCACTGCCTCCTTCTCCAACACGAGTTCCAACTCTTGCCTACTCGACATCGTCAACTCTCCCAGGTCCGCGGCTTCATTGAGATTCACAAGTTTTTCAACAATACTGGAATTCAGCGACATGTTCATCGCAATCGAGGTGAGATTATGATAATTATTCTGCTGTTGAAGGTAAGGTTGTTGTGTGGTTGGCAGTTTTCTGCGAGATGCAAATCGACACGTGGGATGATTCGGTTGGTGCGTGTGTGTCGGGGATTTCTTATTTTGCAGTGGCTGTGGCTGCCCCTGGGGAGATGTTGGGGTCTGGTTCTTCTGGTGATTTAAAAGTCCTTGCAAATGGTGCACCTTTTTAGCCAGGGACTCCTTTTCTTCGTGCACCTTCACCAAAGTTGCTTTCGCTTTATAGAGCTCTTCGTCCTTGTCGGATAAATTCTTCTTAATTTTATTATGTTCAGATTGGATGGTTTCGAGCTGTGTGAGGATTTGGGCGAGCTGAAAGTGAAAGTGGGAGAAAGTTGTAGAGATAAGGAGAGATTTTTAATGACAAGGTCTGTTTATACATACGTGATGTGTGCAAATTAATTGGGAGAAAGTTGGGAGAAAGTTTTTCCCAACTTTCTCTTCTGAAGTAATCATAATAATCTCGGGGCAAGTAAACGAGGAGGGTTTAGTGCTGGGCGGACTCATTGTTAGAGATGACGAGGAATTAAATTGTTTGGTAGATTAGGAAGAGGTGCCGGCCTTGTTTGCGAAATTGTGTGCAATATTTGCAAAATTTATGCGGCGGTCAAGGTGACTATTTAACATGAGGCTTAGGTTTAATGGTTGGCAAAACACAGAGGAAAATTAATTGGGTTGCAAATTAAGAAGGAAATAAAACTTTGCGAAATTGTATTCGAAATTTGCGAAATTATTTATGCAAAGTATTTGCAAACTTTATATCGCGGTTGAGGCGACTATTCAAAGTGAGGCTGGGGTTCAAGATATCAGCAAATTAAAAGGACTGCAAATTAAGGGGGATATAAAAGTTTGTGAAATTCTATACAAAATTTGCAAAATTTAGCCTTTGTTGACGTGAATACCCCGAATGAATGTTGCTTTATCCCACGAAATTCTAATTTTGGTGCAACTTTCACCTTTTGCTTCTCTCAAGTAATCAACCCGACATGTTTTTTTCTCTGCTTTCTCTTCTCCTTCAATTAATTTCCCCACCTGCACAGCCAGCAACACCACAAGAGGCAATTGTGTTTGGGAGATTAATCTCGTTCTCCTCAGTCTAACTCCGGGACTCTGCTCAATTTCATTTCGGCCAAGGAAACCCTAGACACTGACAAATTGATCGACGAATTGGACTGGACAGGAGAGGAAGAAAGGGAAAAAAGAGAAAGTCCAATCTCACCTTTTTCTCATTGTTAATTTGGTGTTGGTTGGGTCCCATTATTCGGGCGGAGTGATTATTACTCACTTTCACCGATGTATCACTGATTGGAGTTGCCAATTCTGGTGAGTAAGGAAGAAAATCAATTAGACTAAGAGTCTCAAATGTTGCTAAAATCATTTAACTGGATGATATATATTTCTTTAATTGACATTTTTGCACAATTTTATTGCGATGTGTAGACTTTTTTTAAATTTGGCGCAGAAAATTTAAGAAAATTGCAATTTTCCCGACGTCATTAGGTACAAATTCTAGAAAAATTAATTTTGCTTCATGTTCAGCTAGGTTTTGATCATTAGGATTTTAACGTGATCTTCTTAGGATTATTTACTCTGCATGTAAATTTTTTGCCAAATTTACAGAAATTTATAGTAAAACTTCCATAAAAATTTTGAGTATATTCCTTCCGTAGATTCCCGTATTTCTTACCATCATCGTATAAAATCCCGTCCTCGAAATAGTCGTCGGCATCATCATCGTCAGAAATATCTAATTCTTCCAGCGCACCATTTTCCACGTCTTCCTCTTCCTCGTCTTCATCCTCCTCCACAATTCTCCCGTTCTGCAGAGTGCTTAGCTGTTTCTGCAACTCGGCAATGATTCCGTACAACTCGGTCACTTTGGATTCGTGGAGATCAGCAGATTTCTGTAATTGCAAATTGTACAATAGTCCCGAGAGGGGAGAAAAACTAGGTTAATTTTTATCGATTTTTTAGACACGCTAAAAAAATATGGTAACAAAAGTGTAAAAACAAGTGTACGCACGGTAACAATAATTATTTGAACCATTAGAAATCCAGTATTAAAATAATACCAAGTGGTATTGATAAATAATACCCGGTAACAATACTGATAGATTGATATTAAAGTTTTCCGTATCCCTAGCAAATACTTATGGTCCGGTATAATTTTAATATCAAGCGGTGGCAGCCTTAATACCGAGAAATCAATATCTTAGTGAATTTACCAGATTTCTAGCAGTGCATCCGCCAAATTAAAAATTTTTATCACGCTAGAACAAATTTCGCTTATTTTAAATTTGCCAAAAAATTATTACTACCTTTCCGTGACAAATCTCGGTGACAACTACGCTAACAAGTTATTTATGTAAATATGTATATACCTACCCGTAAAAATTGGTTTTCCTCGAGAACACTGCGGTTTGCTGATTCCATCCCCGGATGAGTATGACTGGTCTTTATCGGAATACTTTTTGGGGCCAAATTTTCTAAACTTCTCCACTTCCTTTTGGGCAGCTAAGTAAATAAAGAGAAAATTTATCGATTTAGGCGGAAAACGTATAAAATAATGGGCAAAGAGGATAGAGATAGAGTTTGGTAAAATGTATGTAGAACGATATAAATGACACGGTAGTAAATACACAGATATGCTCTTTCTCTCCGTTTCTGTGCGTCCTTAATTCGCTTCCCTGGCGAGTCGTGACATTATTTATTCATTTCGTGCAATTTACTTTAGTTGAGGGAAACGAGGAGTGGACGGTGCTGGACGTCTTTTCGAGCAGATGAATATTTGATGGAACGAGAGGATACAATAATTTAGAGGAAATGTGTGCAGGCATGTTTTCATTTAAGAATCTAAAATTTTATTAAATTTGCGATAAGGAAATTCGCAAAGGGATTAGATTGCAGATATGAAAATTTTTGCTGAATTCCTCCAAGCAAATCTGATAGTTGCGCAGAAAAAGGAAAAATTCTGTCCTCTGAACAATGAAAAATTATAATTTGTGTAGGCATGTTTTCATTTTAAGGGTAAAATTTTACTAAAATTTCGCGATAAGGAAATTCGCACAAAATTGCAGATATGAAAATTTTCGCTCTGAGCAAATCCCCTATAATGTGGCATCTCATGTGCCAAAAAGGGCAAAATTCTGTCCTCCAAACAATGAAAAATTACTTAACTCGAAACAGATGTGGCATTTGCGACAAAATACGTACTGCGTCTCATGTGCTAAACTGCTGGGTAAATTGGCACATGCTAAAAATTCCCCTACGAAACGAAACCTAACCCTCCATTGCAAAGTCGGGGAAAGTATCAAATTGCAAAATCGTTATGGTCTGCACGCGTTATAAATTTTAATAAGATTCTTCTTCCCCCTTCCCCAGTGACATTTCCATTTTGTTAATATCCGGTCTGTATTAATATGTATATATTTTTGGCACAAAAAATCCTCTAATATGCAAAAAACTAATGTACTTTACTTCCTCTAAATTTTTGCACCCATAAATACGTTCATACATACTCCCTGTCAAAAAACCGTCACTCTGTCCATTCCGTTCCGTCACGTCCTTCACGGACTAAGTAGTGCATTAAATAATTTGGCCGGTATAAAAAAAACAACGGAAAAAAAGAATCTCTGCAAAAAACAATCTCAAAATTTTTCAAGGAAACAACAGCCCAAAACAGAAGGGGATTGCGTCCCGCTGCTGCTGCTTCTGTTTTTCCGTGAGTATTCTCGTATATGTCTCTTTTTCTTAATAAAAACAATCCGAGTCTAAAAATATCCCCGGGTTCAAGTCAAGACACATCTACGTACGTATACACAGACAGTGTTTGCAAGGAAATGAAAAAAATCGGGGGATAGATAGAATAGAAGAATACGGGTAATGGTGGTGGTGGCCGTGGTGGAAATTGGATGGTTTTCTAAGCAGGAAGGAATTTTTGTTTATGGTCGAATTACTCCGTTATATATCCGACATACATATTTCGTTCGTGGTGGGAAGCACGGAAATAAAGAAAAGATGAGAAGGGTTAGTTAGGCGAAGGGATCAGGGTCGTCTGGCCCACTCGCATAGTTCATTTCACTTACGAACCCAAACATTCCTAACGGAGAGGAGAACAATTCCTCGCTTTATCGTGGATAGAATGGAAAAATCGGGGCTGAATTTTTTCACTATTTTTTTTCTTTCTCGGGGAAAAATGAAGAACAGGAAATTACTCACCATTTTGTGGAGACCACCCCTGAGGTTTGCGTATTGTGGATATTTTTTTTCTGATTGAGTTGTTCACTATTTATGAGAAAATTCTGCGGACAGGATGGCTTCTTTTTTTTGCGAGGCAAATATTCAATGTGTGAGACGTCCTCCGATGTCGAGCAGTTCACCCGAACTGAACGGAATTAATGGGCTACCCGGGTATTTTACTGACTTTGGTGTGCGGGACTAACACGCTCCGGCAGAGTGGAAGGGAGGACTGGTGTGTGTGTGTAAGGAAGGAGAGAAGATCATCCATGCCGAGAAGTTGGGAGAGATTTTGGTATAGAATCTTGGATTACAGAGGAGAGAGCGAGAAACTTGAGTCAGGATGAACATGAACCAACAGGATGAAGAGTTTACTTTAGTTTAGTTTGCGAGTTTTTTTTGCAATGAAACTTTCTCTTTTTTTGTGGGGTGATCTTGAATCATGGTATTTGTGGTTTTGGATTTGGAGAAAGTAATATTTTTTATGGGGTGGGTGGGTTGGGAACTTTTTGATTGGGAAAGATGACAAAAGGGGGAAGTTTTTTTAGGGATTTAAGAAAGTGAATGTGTGGGTTGGGTAAGTATGAGAAATTTGAGAAAATAGTTTTAGAGCGTCATATATGCAAATTCATTGTAATTTAAGATCGTAAAATTTTGTAATGAATTTAAATTGGAATTTGCTTTTAGAAAAGAAAGCAAGCTTTTTTTATCTATAGATAAATAAGTATACTTATTTATCTATGTAGTTTATTTAAACTTTCCTTTTTCTCGATTTGGTAAACAGATCTGAACTGAGATTTGGAAATTTATCACAAAGTGAGATTACGACTGGATTTAATTATTGGGAAGAAGAGAAGAAAGTGGTGAAAGTTGGAGGGTAATAAATAGCGTTGAGAGGAAGATAAGATCTGAGATTGGAGAACAATTGACAGTTTGAATCACAATAAATCTTCTCGCTTTGTAGAGATCCTATAGTCCTAGAAAGTCTATTTAGAATTAAATAAATAAGTAGAAAAACAAAGGGCGACATCAATTTTATTATCTTTTACTGAAAATGATCGTAATTCTTAAATAATTGTTAAACGGCTTTAAAAACGATGGATTATTTGAAAGTTTTTTTTAATTCCTGAATTAGATCTTTGTCCATAATCAGGAATGCAAGTACATGTACTTACATACTTGCAAATTTATGATGGAAAATTTTTATTTCAAATTAAGGGCAGAATATCATGTATATTTGTTCCGTACTCTCACACTTTTCTCAGATATCTAAACAACAACAAGTGAAATGCTAAACTTGCGGTCATTATGTAAGTGTAATGTATAACGGTTTGCATGTGATATTGTCGTGCAAAGAAACCCACAATGCTTTATTAAAACTACTTATTTAAGTTGGCACGTTGCATATTTAATGATGCACAAATTTATCGGGTATTTCAAGATCGAACATTTCTATCGCCTATCCCTAAAGTCGCTACAGTAGTATCTATTTCTTCCCAAAATGCAACAATTTTTATCCGAATAAAAATATTGTAAACTGTCCAAAAAACAAAAAATTACTCAAACATCTTCGGACTACATATGTACATACTCCAACTAATGGATATACGTACACTCTTATAAAGCAGGTATTAAATCATTGCTGACAGGAGTACTAACTCTACCCGAACTGCTAATAATGAGCATTACCGTTTAGTAATGTTGTGATAATGAAAAATTTACCACTCAGAAACAAACTGCTACCAATCCGGTAAGAATTTATTACCAAATCATTATACACGGAGTGTATAATGTGACTCCCTTCATCACATTTTTAGCAGGGTACCATAACCATATATATAACTTATGTAACATATCCCTTTCTTTTAACAAATCCGCTTAATGAGAGTTTTGAGAAGTCTAAGGATAAGTCACGCCATGTCTGATGCTTGCCTAATTATGTGATAGAAATAAATGTACATATCCAATATGAAGCTTGCCATATGAATCTGTAAGTAGATACCTTCACATTTATAATTCAGATAAATTTATTCCGCTCGTCTATTTTATCCATAAGTTGATATAGATATTTATACTTATCACAAGTACCGAGTAGTGTTCTTAAATTCAATTTTGTTTGCTTACGTGTCATTTCAACCTTGAAAGCCAACTGAACTATTGAACTGTTCAGTTCTAAATATGAACATTTATATTTCTTTAATCCAAATTCTTACGTGTTTTATCATTTCGTCAACCCTGTGCTTCAATTTATCAATTTTTGGCCCTTGTGTTTTCCACTTCTCAATATTTAATCCTATCTCGTTAGACATCTTTGAAAACTCATTTTATAACCAACACATTCGTACTTTGTATTACTTTAAAAATCCAGAAAATGTCACAAATATCGCAAATCCTCTGATTTTTTATAGCGAACCATGTTCCGTAAATGTATTAACCCTAGTTAAACTAGGTAAGCTAGCATACCAAACAAACTTTGCCCGCCATTTCATACAGGCATCAAATTTCTCACTTCGCTCCGAACCATTTCTTTTCGTCACGACTACATCTCACCTCCTAACAGAAATCATCCCATGCAACGACTATAAGTATCCCGCCAGAATATTCCAGCTACTCGGAAGTATAATTAAAATTAATGCATTTAAACCGACACGATTCGCCTTTTGGTGCGTATTCTGTATCAAAAAATGGCACGACGTCTCCTTATTATCACTCGACATGGGAAGCATTAATGTGTTTAGCTACAGGCAAAAATGGCTACCTAAAGTTATCTTGGATCTCGTCAATATAAGAATTCCACGCAAAATAAACTGCTTCACTTCACCGTGGACAAGATACCCGAAGTCACAATGGACAGCAAAATGGTCCCCTGGACCAGATACATGCACTGAACCACACATATTGGCCACCTGGTTGGAACAAGGCCTCAATATTTCACTTCGTATACGACAAATGGACGACGATAACTGTGCAATGGTTCATTTCAAGTCTAATCAGATTCCTAGCTTGGGGGCACTGGGATTCGAATTTGTCAACACTATTCGGTACCATGGATTTCGTAGGATGCATTTTTTCTACTGTAACTTCGAGACCGGGCGGCATAGCAAAATCACCTTTACCTCGTGGATCAAACCTTTTCAGTCATCAGTTTGGGGCACTTTGACATTCGTCATAGTAATTTCAGCTGTCGTACTATCTATAAATTATGGCCCGCTATACGACATAACTCTGAGGTCACTGTCGTATTATTTGTTTTCAACCGTGGGCATATTTTTTCGGCAAGGGCTTATCGTAAACAAATTCCTTGGGCTTGTCATCATACTTCATGTTCTATTCTTTATTTTGGGGTCCTGCTACGAAACTTATTTCACAAGTCACATAATTGTACCCACGAAGATACCCGTTTTTCAGAATTTTGCAATACTGCTGAAAAATGGGTATAAATTGATTATGCTGGCTCAACTCAATCAATCGGCAAAGAACTGGCTCAAACTTGACTTACAATGCGAAGGTGTCAGCGACTAATCTCAGATTTCAATCCGACCACCACTATTTGATAGTGTTAGTCAATACAACCAACATTTGGTTTTGCATTTTCTTGAATGCGCAATATTAAAAAATATACGAAGGGTCAAAGTTGATAAAAACGCATGATTTTCACCGTGCGGCTGGTCAGAAATTTTCACCGTCACTCCTCCGCTCCACTCGTTTCCACGCTGACTCGTTTCGTCACAATGCCGCTTTCTCGCTTGCACTTTTCATTACTAACATAACTTCGCTTTGTGTTTAGTAAATAGTCAAGTATTATGAATAAGTGGACAAACATTTATTGCATTTAATTTTCAAACGGATTTTTTACACAAGTTAGCATATGATTTTTGTGATAGAAGTCATTAAAACAGAAAGACAAATCACACCAGCTGCATTTTATAAATGCGTCATTGTCGCATATCATTAAACTGCAATCAGTTGCACGTGGTTTGAAACATACTTCACTAACATTTTTGAATAATGGCTTTCCTCCATCCGCCCATAACCCACTAGAATACCAACAATAACGAATCATCGGGACAAAAACAGGAGCGCTTAAAACGAAGTGAACAAGCGAATGCAATTTCAAAACTCCGTTGCGAGTACATAAGTATGAGGATTCGCCAGGTTCATGTAACGATTCGTAAAAATAAAACTGCTTAACTATATACTTAAGTTGGCGATGAAAATATGTGTCAAGGGGTTGACACAGGTCAGTGCAACTTTCTGGAACAAACATTACCCAAAAATCATAAGTCGGACTACGTCCAAATCGGCTCTCGTAAAGGTCTTCGTTAGTTTGGGCCGTCCAGTTGTCGAGTAGATACAGGATTTGGTTATATTGAGCATGAGGAACAACAATTTTATCTAGGAAATCCTCAACCAAAACTGTACTTAATTTACCAGACCTGCTTGCGGAGACAATAAGGTTCGGTGCCGTAAAGAGGTTTTTTTCCACAACTGGACCTAAAATTCCACCAATTTCCTACGTGAATGAAACTTTAATTAATTTTCTGATTTTCACATTCAACTTCTAATGAGCTGGTCATTGCATACGTACCTGTAAACAGACATAGACTTGAGGAATTATGGATCCATCGTACGAAACAACATACTGTACGGTATAAGAGTGGGTGGCTTTATTTTTCGGCGAATACGACGTTCCAAGAGTTTTTCTTTCACCTTTAGAAGTTAGAGTTCGATTGGAGACAATTTCATACTTAAATCCCGTCTGGTCGGTATTCCAGATATTGCCTGGTTCATAAAGTGGGATCATTGCATTTACTTCCTGTCGGAATTTTGCAGCATCTTCAAGGATTTTATCCAGATCTTTTACGGATGAGCGCTTCACAAACTTCTGAATCTTTCGAGATGATATCCGGTTTCTTCTTTTTAATACGCCGATCCACGAATCACACGCTTTAAACTTCAAGCCAGGATATTCCCTAGCTTTTATAAGAGCCCATCGCCTTATGTCAATGGTGTGAACGGATAAAAATTTATCTCTTGCATCACGAAATTGGGAAATCACAAACTCTTCAATTTCCTTTAAAATTGTGAATCTTGATCCTCCTGAAAAATTGATTAATGTACTTTGGCTAAATGAATTTTATTGACATGCGACTACGTTTGACCTAC